ATATCGAAACAGCCAGCAGTACAGGCAGGTAGGGATTCACTTCGTGACGGGAGGTACTGGCACACGCACCCCAGGGCAAAGGTGAGCCAGCAAAGCATGGTGGATCTAGTTCGTTCCTGGGGCTCTCTTGAGCGGTGTCTTGAGCATTGATGCCCAAAGCTCCACAATGTTGCTTCAACATGAAAGTTGCCCAACAACCTTCCAACCCTGAAAGCAGCCAAGCTGACATGCCCTCAAAAACACATTGCCGAAACTTAGTAAAAAATAAACGGGCCTCAGCAAGAAACCCTGTGAATCGCAGCACATCGCTGCCGAGGAAGTGCGCCCGACAGGAAGGTCTTCCAGGCATGGTAGCTTTGAAAGAAGCGGAGGATGAGTCAGGTGGGCACACGCCCCTGGTTTGCAAAACGTGGAAAAAGATGAGAAATGCAGCTTGCTGCTAAATTGCTACATCTGGAGAGGATTGTCACGGGGATTGGGCTGGCGCAGCCTCCTATCTGCAAAGTTTGGACAAAGATTGAAAAATGCAGCTTCTTGCTAAATTCTTAGGCATCATGTTTGCTGCTCACAAGATGTCCAAGTCCATCCAGAACGATGACTTAGGGGTCTTGCGAAACTGGTCAACTAAACTACCACCTTACAGTTCTCGTTATCGAGGGCCCTGAGAGGCCTACTCAACCTCAAAGGGTCCCGGCGCTTGGGAGAAGGCTGTTGGGAGGCATCTTATTGGGTTCCGAGCGCGGCGTTGCCTTTCGACAAGGGACAGGCAAGTTACTGCAAGTCGTACAAGCTCCTGAGAAGGAACGATTCAACCTGTAGGGTGGCCATGCCTCTTGCGTCACTTGAAAAGCTGTCAGGATTAAACAAGGCTTCCAGCTCTCCTGCAAATCAGCTTGCACATTTCCAGGCTGCGCCCAGGATGCTTGACCACATATGAGCCTCGGTCGTTCACATAAGTGCTTGCCCAAGCTCACCCTGGTTATAACCAACCCAAGCCAGAAACAACTACGATCAGGAAGGAGCTTGCAGGGACCGACTTCAGGTGCAGAAGATACGGGAAGCCTGGCCTCGCCAGTCACCCGGGTGCGCGCCGCGGCAGGATCGGCCAATGCCGCCATCCATCGGTACGAAGACACGCTCTGAGTGGCAAGGATGGCAAGCATCAAACCTCTACTCAGTCAAGACATGCCTAGCTCTTTTGCAAGCGAGGGTGCTTCCGTCTGCAGCAGCAGCCACCGTGGCATTAAGGGTGAAGTTCTCCTCCCAGAGCATGTCAGGAAAGCATGATTATTAGAGGCTCGATCCCTTAGGCTTTGCCGCAATAACTTGTTGTATCTTCTCTTGCTTGTTGCGGTCCCAAAGCACACCCCCGGTTCTGTGACGAAAACACGCACAATGAGATGCAGTCCTCCGGCTCATCAGGGACTTCACGCGACACCTGGCTGCAAACTACAAGCAACAGCAAGGAACTGCTTGGCTTGCAACAGGAGGCGCCATCTCATTCTCCATCAGTGCATGCGCAAATACAGATACGGAGCACCAATGAATAAGCAGCATGCACAAAAAGCTTCCAAGAAGGCGCACATTGGCCAAAGCATTGGCAAGCTTGGTCTTGATTTGACACCTCGAAGTCTGATCAAATCTCGAAAGGTATGCTCTGCCTGCTCTCGGTCCCTGAGCAAGGGACGCTTGGAAGGTGTCGCGTGCAGAGGGGCATGGGTAGCTTCGGAAGCCGCTCGCCTCGAAGCCTGCGCTGGATGCGTTTCCCCGTTTTCTCGGTAAGCTCCTTGCTACTCGTATATGCGTCAAAGAAGAGCATGGTTTGGCTGAGACAGGCATTCGAACCCCAACTGCGCTTTAACGAGGCTGGCTTGAGGAAAGCGAACAGTGCAACATGAGAACGCAAGCTTGACATGCCAAAGTATCCAGCCTGGACAGCAAACATCACCTGCGCAGGATGTACTGCCATCTGCGCAAAGAACGGTCCTCAGCAAGGATAGGTCAACACCCAGCTTTCCTAGGCATGTAAGGCTTACAACTGTTGGGTAATCGTTTGCAGGCTGGCGTCTCACTCGTAGTGGCAGCACTGGCAGCCTCCAAAAGAGTCAGTCAGAGCTGAGCTGTTGGCTTCACCTTGAGACTGGTTCCCTGATTAATGTGCATGGGTAGCAAGGCCATCCGATTTCCAGCTGCAGGAGATGCAAACCTGCCTTGAAGACGCGCAGCTCCCGCAAGTCGAGAACACGAGTTGGCCCAGGAAGCTGAACGTAGACGTAGCGGCCGTGGCGGCCCTGAGGCTGCGAGTGACTTCAGACTAGGCACACGTAGGAGGCTAGAGCCATCTAAAGCCAACAGTCAGCCTGGCAGTCTCCGGCATAGGTGTGTCCAGTACCGTTGCGATTGCTGCCCGTGATGCGGGTGCAAATCACACCGCCGCAGAGATGACCTGCCCAAACAGGCATGCCGTTGGCCGTTGGCCTGGCAAGTCTTTATGCCATCCTGAACTGCTGTGGCCTTCACAGGGCGTCAGGCTGATGCCAAGGTTTGCGCCCTGGTCCGCGGCAGAATAGTTGCCTCACTTGACTCCCAGGACGCAGCATTAACGCCAGCTTGAGCAGAAGCAACACACCTCTCCAAAAACTCTTTCAATGATCAGGTGAGAGGCCAACGTCATAGTCCCAACCTAAGCACCAAAATGGTCTTCGTGAAACTGCAACCTTCTGCGAGTAGATGGCACAGGGTCTCTTGAATCTTTTTTTTACGATTTTCGAGCATGAGTTCTAGCAGCTAGCAGGAATTACACGCTGGCAAAGCAGAGCGTCCTCTTCAGCACATTTGCATCCACACTGAGTTCACATGCGCCGACCAGACAGCTAAGCCCCATGACGCCAAAACAACTGAAAAGACTCATTTTCCAGGTCCCCACAACCCCACATGAATCAGGCACCATAATTCAGCCCTTCATTGACATCTGTCCTTAGTGTCTTAGCAAACCATTTCCCCAAGACTGGTGAATTCTCGCAAGCTGCGCAACTCATTCATGTAAGCAATGGACTGCACTCTGTGCCCAGGAAGAGCCTGGAAGCACACTTGTCCGCGTCCACGTTCCTGAGAAACATAAAACCAGCTTGCTTCTCAAGCACGGTGTCAGCCAACCGCTCTTCACATTGCTGCGGACGACATTACCAACATCATGAAAATTTACGGAGACAAAAGCAAACATCAGAAACTGTGGCGACAGCATGTGGCAGCTACAGTACCAATGGCTGCAGCAAGCCACAACCCAGTCACAACCCCCACCGCAAAGAACAAAAGCGCGACCTCCACCGCAACAATCAAAAGCACGACACGAAGAAAGTACGAAGAACAAGCGCAGCAGCAGCAGCCGCGGCGGCCGCCGCCGCCGCCGCCCTAGCGGCGGCAGCGACCGACATCAACCGCCCATGCCGTCACAGTCATTACCACGACAATCACAGCTACAGCACCTTCCAACTAACTTCCATTACCACTATGACCATGCACGACCGCCGCCATCATCACCACCGCCACCGCCAACGCCACCGCAGCCACCGCCGCCGCCACCGCCACCGCCGCCGCCACCGCCACCGCCCCTGCCCCAGCCCGCCCCTGCCACGCCAGCGCCGCTGCCGCCACCATCACCACCACCACAACAGCAACAACAAAAGACTGGTCAGCATTGCACTGGTGCCCGGAATGTCATGTCAGTTGAGCTGAAAGCACTGCGAGGCACAGCAAATGTGTTTTGGATTGGTGACCAAAACACCGCAAGTTCTAGTATGAAACCATGCGTACACCAAAAAGCTGGCAGCATCCACGAAATGGAATGTCCGCAGCCTCCCGGCGCCCCCAGCACAATTTTGGGCAACGTAAGCGACAACGCTGGCTAATTACAAGATATCGTGTTACATCATCTTCTTGTTGGTTCAGTATCTTGGGCGTTTTGCAAGCTTTGTTGTTGCTTATCCTTTGGTGTTCCGCCAACACTATGTGTCAAACAGTCAAGCATGCTTCTCAAGAATTGCATTCTTGTCATGAACTCTAGCATCTGCGTCAGGAATGATCTCAGTCATGATGGTGATGTAGTTGGTGACCCCTGTCCCCAAGAAAATGAACGGCAGGCAAAAGCACAACATCAAACTGACACTTTGACGGTTGAGGCATGGATGTAGTGAAAAGCGGTCATGCTGGAAGACCAGATGTTATCACAGTTTGCAACAAGTTGCCGCAACGGCGCTATTCTGGCTTGGATTTAGAACGTCCACTCGGCCAGAACCATGGTAATCAACCACTTGTGAGGTGTTGAGACAAATATTCCATCTGGATTTGAGAGCGGGCTCAAACACATCAGAAGGTTGAGACATGAAAGAGGAAAGTGACCAGGAAAAATGAGAGCGTGCCGTGCGCTGTTTCCACTCTACTCGCTCGAACCAAAAAATGGAGGTGCTTCTGCTCAATCTGCCTGTGGTTGCATGAGGTCTCCCTACTCCTTAGGCGTGCGTGCCCTTGGTCATGGTACCAAATTCTGGTTGTTGCATCAGGCCTCCCTCAACTGGTGGGGCCTGTTTTATCATTTTTCTGGGGCGACGGGCCTTGGTTTTGTAGATGCGGGCCATGAAGGAAGGACGGAAAAGCTGACGTGGAGTAGGAAAGCGGAGGGAGGGGAAGACATAGAGAAACCAAGAAGGCAAGAAGGAAAGAACACAAGATTAAAAGAAACAAAGAGATATAGCAAGAAGGAGAGAAATAAAGCAAGAGACACGGAAAGAACAAAACAAAGTAAGTCCGCAAGAGAAAAAGAGCGACATACAGCTAGTGTTGGGTTTCACACAACAGTACAAGTGGAGAGGAGGCAGCGAGTACTTCCACCCCTCACATAGAACGGAACCACAAGGAAACTCCGCTCAAACAACGTGTATGTGTAAGCTCATGGGCCACCTGAGGACATGACCAAGGAGTAACCCCACTAACTGCAGTAATTATAGTGATGTCACGTCTCTAACGCCAGAACGAAAAAAGACAGAGAGGAAGGAACCATTCTGGCCAAAGTCTCTGCCTATCTCTTCGTGGGATACCCGCTCTACTGGCCCTTTGGGAGGGGTTTGTACCTCCTCCCTCGGGGGTGGACGAGAAGTTGCGAGCAGGGGCTTGAGGCCCCATATCTGAAGCTGTTGCCAGCTCGAGTCTGACCAGGCGAAGGGAATTGGGAACCCACACCTGACAAAGCATCCGAAGAGCGTCAACTGCCGCCTTGGGCTTCGTTGAGAAAGAAGCAAACAAAAGTGCCTCAAAGAATGGAGAGGTTGTGTGCAACAACAAAACATGGTTTCTCGTAGCACACCACGCCGTGGCAGTGAGCGCTAGGAAAGTAGAATGGAGGTTCGATGCAACGTCTGAGCATGGTTTTAGCCGCACTACTAGCAGCAAGGATGCACAAGGAGTGAGGAGAGTTGATGCGTCAACCTAGCAGGATGTTGCTTGTACAGCTATCAATTAACCAAATATGCTGTTATTCCTGCACGAATCCCTTCCAAGATAGTATCACATTAGACCCCCAAAGTAAAAAAATGTTACTGGGAAGAATCACCTTCGACCGCCCTATCCCCCCCTCAAACCAATCAGGTTCTTGTGGAAGAATCACGTTCGACACCCTCCATGCTGTGAGGTGCCAGTCTCACATGATTCGCAGCTTTCCAAACCGTAAATACTACTATGGCTAAAGCAAGACTAAACTTAAGCCTAGCTCGGCCAGGCCCAAGGCTGCGGCCACTCCAGGCAAAGTCTCTACCAACTCCTCTCTCCCCCTTCCTGGAAGACGCGAGGACCAGAAGCACACATTGCCACCCCTTTCTTTTGCGGCCATCCCTAGAAGGGGACTTCAGGGTCGGCTTTCACGAGTTGGTTGTGCACAAGGAGGATTACCAAAATTCCCCCGCACCAGCACACCCCAAGGACCCAAATTCCCCAGCTTCCCGCAATTTCCCCAGCTCTCGCAACCACCACCAACAACACAACCACCACAACCACAACCACA